GCTCATGGGGGATAAGCGATTTTGGCGTCCTGGAGGTCCTCTTGGAGCCTTCTTGGGGCGTCTTTGGGGCCTCTTGGGCCACATGGTGGCCATCTTGGGCCATCTTGGGCCGTCTTGGGCGCATCTTGGGCCGTCTTGGATACATCTTGGGGCCATCGTGGGCTATCGTGGGCTCTTGGGGTGGAGGCTATCGTGGGTCATCTTGGATCCATCTGGAGCGGGCAAATCGTTGCCTACGGGCTTTCCGCAAGGCTGCGGGGATCGCCCGAGACAATACTGGGAATTTTTCGAAACAAACCAATCATTCAAAAGTGCGGCACGCCAGGCACCCCTTTTAGAAACCAACAGGGGGCGGCGGATTTTGGCCTCGGCCCAACCAGCCACCATGCCTGGGTTGTAGGCCAGAGCTTTCCTTGGTGCATATTGCGATCTTCTGCGAATTCTCTGGGAGGCTACTTTCAGGATTAATTCGGGCCTTTTTGGGGCTACTTGGCAGCGTCTTGGGTGCATCCGGGCGCGATTTGGAGAGTCTTTTTGGATCCTCCTGGCGACACCGCTGGATCTTTCGGTGTATTTTCGATAAGACCTAATTCGTACTAGCCAGATCGGTCCGTTGTTGAGTCGAGACAGATGCCTGGCCATCAATTCTGTTTAGCGGCTACAACTTCGGTCAGTCTGGTTGTAGTCATACTTGTTATGACCCACATTGTGCCACCTTGGCACTATCGGGCAACGGTGCTCGGGCATGTCTGACAATGGCACCACGAGGAGCAGGGAGGCGTGGAGCTGAGGCAGGTGGTACCGCACGACCTCGATGCTCCTGCCATGGAGCACCACCCGCGTCAGACCGGCTCCGGACCGTCTTCGGTGCCCGAGGCCGCCTGCGCACCCCTCGCCCGTCGCCTCTCGGCGCTCGGGCCTCCTCGGCGGCACCCCGGCATGCCTCTGCTGTGTGCGCGTCGCCCCCCCCCAGGGGAGGACGCGCGCACCGAGAAATCTCATGGCAAGTGCGTCGTGGCGGGCGCTTTCTGGCCCCACCGCTCGGGAAACGATGTACGACAAGATGGGTACACTATATGTTCGGGTCGGACGCGCGCCTCCGAGGAAGGCACATAGTATGTCCTTGTGCGTCCCATCTCCTCTTCCCTCCCTCCTCCGCGGCCGCTCTCCGTTCTCCCACTCGCTCCGTACGCCTCGCGCCCGGCGCGCCCCGCCGGTCTCGACCCTCGCGCCTGCGTCCGGCGGCGCTGCCGCTTGAGAAACGTCGGGCCAGACCGTGCATGCTCGTGCACGACCCAGGTGGTGGCCGTTGCACTGCCCGGCCTGTGGACCAGAGGCCTGCGGCCTACAGCCTTCGGCATACGGGCGCGGCACCTGCGCTCGTCGTGGGCCGAGCCGACTTGATCTGAGCCGAGCCGACCCCTTTCGTTGCGACGTCGGTGTTGACGGCGACGACGACGACTTCGACGTCGATGAAGACGACGACGTCCATGCCGTCCCAGTCGACGTCGACGTTGGCAGCGATGAAGATGTCGTCGACGACGTCCCAGCCGTCGCCGACGACGACGAAGCGCGGCCTGAGCGTTTATGTCGACGGCGAGAACGGCCGTCCCAGCCAAACACGACGTCGACGACGGCCCTGCCGAACACGACGTCGACAATCCCCCTGCCGAGTACGACGCCGACGACGCCCCTGCCGAACACGATGTCGACGACGTTCCAGCCGAAGACGACGTCAGCGACGTCGGCAACGGCGTCGACGGCCGCCCCAACCGAAGTGTCGTCGTCGCCGTCGTCGCTGCCGCCGTAGTCGTCCGTCTTCGCTGCCGCCGTGGCCGACGTCCATCTCCAACCCACCGGCAAGAACAATCTGGAACGAAATTGACGACTCTGGATGGGAAGTGCGAGGGGCACGGCCCCCCCCCCCCAGGGTCCCCTTCCTTCCTTCCCGCATCACCCAGCTCTGCTCTCCGCTTCCTCGTCGAGGTGGCCCCTTGTGGTCGTCGTCGTCGCCGTCGCCGCCGCCGCCGTCGTGGTCGTCGTTGGAGGACACGTTCCCGCCTGTCGTCGGGTCGCCCCCCCGGGTGAAGGGTTTCCCTGAAGGGCTTAGGCGACCCGTCCTCCTCCTCCTCCTCCTCCTCCTCCTCCTCCTCCTGCTCCTCCTCCTCCTCCTCCTCCTCCTCCTCCTCCTCCTCCTCCTCCTCCTCCTCCTCGGGTCGCCTGCGGCCCCGGGGGAAACCGTGCACCCCCGGGCGCCTGGCCGCGCTGGCCGCCGAGGCTCTGGTGCATCGGGGTGCGCCCACCCCGCTCCCGCCCGACGCGCTCTGCTCGCCGCTGGTGCCCCCCGCCGCCGCAGCGCAGCCCTGCTCGGCTGCGCGCAAGAGGGTGGCCCTTCGCCGGAGTGGCTCTCGGCTCAGGCCCACAGTCAGCACCGCTTCAC